CTGCATGCATATGGACTTTGAAAAAAGTGCTTATGTCATCTTTGGGGATTGTTTTACCTCTTTAATACATTATTGCTTAGATTCATGCTCATTTGTCTCAATATCCTATCCTGCAGATATACCATCATTCACTGATCAACAACCCTAACGAAAAGCATTTGCTTAATTTCTGGAATTTTAAGTGCATTACCCACACTTTTATGGGAATTCCAATTCATATTTGCTCCTGTTCTTATGCAAGATTTTCTTTTGTATATCTATTGAGGAGAAGAATTGCTGGATTATCACATACACGTGTCCTTCCATAGAAGAAAATGCAGTTTCCAGTCTGTTTTCATTTTTTATATAAGTGCAATATAGGGACTTCAGACCACTTGTAATTCAGTCTAATTTTTACCCAAAAGCCCTTTTATACATTTTTCCTAGTAATGATAATGAAATTTAGTGTTATAAACATACTAATGTATGCTCACATACTGTACATATATGCAGAAATTGAATTTTGCTTTTATATGTATATTTGAAAGACATGATACCTAGAAGATCATATACAAAATTTCAATTTTTCTGATACATCAACGAAACAACTCTCATGTTGAAGGCCTATTTACCTCTGTTGAGAACACATGCTCTCCAGCCCTGGCCTGGTCAGACATTAACTCCTCTTTCCCAATGTAATGGGAATAAAATATAACTTTATGCTAATTTCAATTTCCATTTCTCAGATAGCTACTGATATAAAACATCCAAATATATATGTTTTGCTCTTTGTTTTTTCAGTGAAATGTGTTTCAATAATGGTTGTATATTTATTATAAATTTTTGGTAACATATAATATTGTTATTTGTATGTTCTGTCAACATAATCTTTCACCTTCTATTTTATATTTTTATTTTCTGTATTACATTCTTTGATAGACAAAAAAACCTTTAAATTTATGGGATAGATTTTTCAAACTTTGACTCAGAGAGGAGCCTTCCCTGAACCTTGTTACAGGGTTTTGGTGACCCTGCACCATGAGATGTGCCTTCCATGCTGTTTATGTGTCTTCTTTCACTACAGCCACTTCTGCATTGTCTTCTTCATTGGACTGTGGATTTCAGGATAGTAGAATCTGTTCATTCTCTACAGTGCCTACAGCCAGATCTTGAACACTGTAAGCACTCATACATTTTGAAGAGTTGAGAGTGGGATTAAAAGAAAGAGGAGATGTTTCTACCTAGAGCTGCATTTTGTAATCTGACTTCACACCATAAGGTGCCTCATTTACAAAGAGATAAGGCATCCGAGCCACATAGACATGTTAAAAGCTCTGAGAACATAAAATAAATGATTTCATTATGTTTATATGTGTATTTATTTTCTTACATGGTTGATTCCCTTTATAATTTTTGAATGAAATGTATTCCATCATATGATCTACAGAATTTTACAATTGTCCACATAAAGGTCATATACACATGTTG